CCGGATCGCCAGGTCGCCTGATAGGCAATCCGGCCGGCCAACTCGTCTGATTGGCCTGACGTGGTGGATGTATGTGTTTTTCGTCTCATCCACCCAAACGGGGCCCGGCAACCAGGACCCGGCGAACGGGCTCGAGGCAATGCGCTGTCATCGAGGGCATTGCGGTAGTGCCACATGCGGTTATCATCATCGCCATCTGACAACTCGACATGTCAGGCCCGGGTGTTCGTTCACCCCCGAGGAAGGGGGGGGGCTCGATTCGCGAGGACTCGGATCGCTCCACCAATCGGCGATAACCATCTTTGCCCGATCGGTACCCCTTTGGGGGCTCGTGCCCGGGGTGCTGGAGCACCCGATCGCTCGGCTTCTTGCGGATCATGCCATTTGGGCGTCAACTGTTCTACTTCTCGCGACCGGCGCCAGTTGTGGGGGTGCACAATAATGCCTATTTACAGACGCACACACACACACACACACACATACATAAAAGAGGGGTTGCAATGTGGGCCGATTGACAAATAATGAAATATATGCAACTGAATGGCCATTAAAATGGGCAAACTTGGCTAAAGTCCGGTCAGATTGTGTTGATACACCCACGCCAACACACAAACACATGCACACGAGCACAGGGTGTGGATAGATGGAAAGATAGACTACAATCGGTATACATGACGAGAAGTGGCTGGATGGATTAAAGTGAGCCGATGAATAAATAGATATCGTTAAGTGTATGAGGGTGTGAATGTGAAATAGTCAAGATGATGAGGATTATAAGTGATTTCTCCGTCAATCACAAGAAAATTACCCATTTCCCCATACCAACTTATCGCGATGTCTTAGTCAGATTGCGGAAGGTTAAAACACCAACTGACATTTGGTAGTTATGCCGCTCGTTTGCTCTGCCTCTCGAGTGTCAATATCAACGCATTCGCTTTTTTAAAATAAGCCAAATGAAAAGCTAATTAATGATGGAAACTGTACTCAAATTCGGCTAATCAGCTCAACAATTCGGAGGATAAAAATACACAAATCGGCCAACAAAGAAGCTTTTATTTTGGGTTTAAGCATGTTCCGTAATTATTACAAAGTATTGAATATAAAAGTAGTCATTTTAAGTTGCTTAGTGTCATTTTACTGTGCTGTTGACACTGTCTTAGGCTTGTCTTCCAAGCGAATTCTCAACCGCGCCAAGGCGTCATAAAGAGCCCAACCAGATTCTAATTTGGCCTCTAATAAGTCAAAAATGACAATAATAAGCATAATATTATAATGATACAATTAGGATGAATAGACGCATGAAATAATTGTACAATTACAGTAAGATAATTACAATTGTAAATTAATTGATTATAATGTTGAATAGTATAATTGTTTATTCTTTTATTATTTTCTATGCTGAAGT